TAAGGACAACAGAGAGCTTGGAAAAAGGCGCTTTTCTACATACGACAGTTACGTCATATCTTTTGCGTCATAATGAGCGATATGACGTAAGGATGAAGACGAGGTGTCGAACGAAAGATTTGCAGGACTTCCTTAGTTTTTTTAGGAGTGCCCACCTCACGTTAGCTTACAAAGTTGCCATGCTTATATGCTTTCAGTACCTGTCATATGTTCGAGTGAAATATTACGGTGTAAACAAACAGCGTGAGCATATGGAGCGCCATATTTTGTTTACAGGCTGTTGTCGTTGATTCCGTAATTGATATCGACAACCAACTCAAAACACTGATGGCGAGCAAATACACAGAACTAATACTTGTACATGTCATCTGTATAATCAGTATCGATTATCTCCTGAAACAAATTCCATTGGGCTTAAAAGATAAAATAGTAATGAAAATAGTGTCAATTGATCATTGAAAAACAGTGATGACACCAGTTGTTCGAGAAAAAGGAAAGCATGTACTTCTCTACCGGTAGCACCCGTCACTTACACAATCTTCATTAAAAAAGTGTTTGTTTGTTTCCTGACGTCATTGTCAGCAATGCCCAGCCGTCTGACAGCGGTCTGTGAACTATCGAGTCTGGACCAGACAATCCAACGATCAGTTTCATGAGCAATGACCCAGGTCGCTGTTAACTATGTCAGTAAGCATGATCATCCGGTCCATTAAAGCAGGTGCCAGTGAGTAAGGATGTGTCAAAACTCCCTGTTGTTTTTTGTTGTTGTTTAACGCCGCACTCAGCAATATTCCAGCTATATGGCGGCGGTCTGTACATATGTAAATAATCGAGTCTGGACCAGACAATCCAGTGATTGACATCATTAGCATCGATTCACGCAATTGGGATACGATGCATCAACCAAGTCAGCGAGCCTGACCACTCGATCCCGTTAGTCGTCTCTTACGACAAGCATATTCACCTTTTACGGCAAGCATGGGATGCTGAAGACCTATTCTACCCCGGATCTTCACACATATGAATGACATGTTTACATTATGTAGTTTGTGAGATCCTTTTCGTTATTTACTTTATTTACCATCCATGGAAAGGAATGTGGTGTTGCGATTTCCACCAACAATGCGTTTCCTGGCTGTCTTTGGGAGGGTGGTGTAATCAAAGCCCACATCATTGATTCCACATCCTGGAGGGTCTATATAACTCAAGACTCCTGTCAATACAATCAGGAACACATTGATGTATAATGTAGTTAACAATAGTAAACCTAAAAGTGAAGATTTTACTTGAAGTTCAATCAGAGTAAAATATTGTACATATTAATTTGTGCTTATTCCAACAACGTCTACACCAAATTCACAAATTCCACCAATATCAGCAACAAGTAATTATCTTCAAAAAGTTGATCCCATGTGCACGTTTGGCACATGTAATTTGCATACTACAGTTGAAGAATAATACAGATATACTGACATGAACTGTGTAATATCTGGAGTTAATAGCGGATATCTTTTTGCATTTTCAACAAAAGGATATAATCACGTTAAATTATGCAAGGTAATGTATAACGCATTGCTGAGCACAGCACACACACGATACAGCAAACCATATCACATGTCTCTTTTTCACTTGTGTGAAGTATATCAGTTACTCTCCAAAAAACATAGCATGTAATATATACCTGTAATAAATAACGTCTATATTTGAAGTGAAACGATTCATTGTTAATTGTTAGGACCGTGAACTGATCAACGTGTATGGATGATATGAGACTAGAGCTGAGTTTGAGTTTGAACATGCATGTAGTATCTGAACATGTGTGAATGTGCACGTGCACATGTGTAAGTATATTTGATGTTTGCGCTGCGACGAGCATTGATTAAAAATGTATCAACATAAGTAAAGGCAATGCTAAAACCAATATTTCATATGGTGGAAACATAAAAATCTTATATAAAATATATAATGTTCTTTTATTACAGGTAATATGAGCATATAAAAACTGTTCAAATATTTATATCCTTGATATACGAAAGTATTTACTTATGCATGTAAACATTTGAAACTTTACAAATTTACAAGGATATGCTCATATTTCAAACCCTTGTAAATTTTATAACTTGTAAGAAAGTTTAGACACTAGAAAAATCAAGAGAGAAGTGCATTTGAAACAGGCTTTGTTCTAGAATTTACTGTGGCATCAACTTCGGAATTTATGCTTTGAGACACTTTTGCATTCATGACAATGGTACTTGTGTTTATTGCAATACACGAGGAAGATCTTGGCCAAACTGGGAGCGCAATTGCAACTCTGCACATCGCCGGTGACCAGATGGCCACCTGTTGGCGAGATTCGTGCAATAAAAGACACCACCGGAATCGCCTTCTGGGACAAAGACTGGTGCAGCGCTTGCATATATTGTCGAGAAAAAAATGTTCTGCCATGCCTCATCGAGGTACACACAAATCAACAGACCGTAATTATGACAGATTTAAAGAGATAATTGAACCTTCTCCATGAATAGACCCTTTTCATCATCCTGTGTTGTGTAGCGAAGCCATTTAAAACAAATTAAAAAGTAAGTGTAATACGAGACACATGTATCGTTTCCTTGGTAACCTCTCTAATTATTGTAACGCCGTAATATTGGTGGCATTTGGCACGCATTAATTTACACTTTCTGGACTACATATCATTAAAACTACATGTATCAAGTCTATGCATTATGTGCCCTTTTCTATGATAGAATGTATGGAGGACCGTGCTTTCGCTTAGCGTACATTCGTTAATATGCTTAATATGGGATTTTGTAATGAGACCAGATATTTTATCAGCTCAAATTGCATAACCAGAAATAAAAAAATAAAAAGTAATAAAGCTATGAACCAAAACAAGTTTTCTTAAAAACATTGCAACAATGTCATTTTTGTGGCAGATCATTTCTTTATTTCCCAGCAATATGAAGCATAATAATTATTAAATATTTTCAGGGACAATATATGTTTTCACGATAAAACCGTCGGCCCGTTATAATGTACTTTTAATAACTTGGTTGTTTATGACAATATACATTACTATATATTCGTATCTAACTAACCTCACATCACACACTCAAGAAATACAAAACTGCAGTCAAAATGTAACGTGTGTCCTTAATATACAAGGGACACACTGAATAAAATCCACGTTCCAGAAAAGGAAATAATAATGATCCAATAAATAAGAACATGATCCATCGGTCTTATCCCAATCCATATTTAAGTTCAGATAGAAATTTACGCCAGTGAGAGTCAACTAATAGTTCAAGTAATAGGAAATAAAGGTTAGTTGAGTCCCTATGCCGACCATGAAGGCAAACTGATTTGGCCTTTTTATTGGGTATTCTACAAGATGTGCTAAAGCAAATTGTAAACCTATAGAAAGTGTGTTCTGTGTTGTGATTGGCTAATTTGGGTCACGTGACCAAATGTCAAAGGGTGAAAATATTATTTGCATTCCCTGACCGAACCACTGTGTAGGAATACATAATTACTCAGCATTTTTTGCATACTAATTAACAATGGACGCTAATTGAAATACAAAATTAACATTCATAACAAATATTTTGATTTTCTCTATTCATGGGAATTATTGGGATTTTAAATTTTTAATTAAAATTAATATCAAAAGTGAAATTAATTGTGTGAAAAAAATGTACAAAAGATATGCAAGATCTACATCATGAAACAGTAAAAAAGCAGTTAACAATGATCGTGTGTACTTTCATGTTCAAGGACCTTCACCTCAGAGAAATTACCAAATATGTACAACAAATATGTTGAAGTTTGACATCACTACCGGTGACCGAGTTTTACAAAATGGCGTGTTGACTGTCAACAGTGCGCGGGATTTTACGGGGGGACTTTCGTTGATTCAGGGTTTGTATATACATAAAAGTGACATGTAAGTAATCAGAAACATTCTGACAATCTGTGTACTGTTTTTTGTTGTTGTATTTTTTATTGAAACCAACGAAAATAGTCATAAATTCTGATAATTACAGTTGTCGTTGTGCGTGATTTTGCGTCAGTCATGGCGTCACACAGGACGGGAACTTCGACAAGTTCTGTTGAAAATATCAAATTATTGCAATGTATATATGTTTAATTCCCTAATTCTTCCTACGATTCTCTTCCCGTGTATATTCTGAAAATGCAGATCTCGAGCCAATGTACTCAACGAATAGACGAATGGCTTTGTTTACATTTCCAACAAGTGCAGTTTTTTCAGTGTCCGTTTTCACACCTCATTTATTTTGCTTCATTACATCTAGACAATTTGTATTGGTGACAAAGACCATTTGGCATTTGATTCTAAAATGTATGAGGAATTCAAGGATGCAGCTGAACTATTCGTGATGGTATTTGCGTCTCATTACCGGTGTACGTTAATTACCAAAATCACAATCACCATAGCAGCAACAGAACGTTCGATGTTGACGCATCACAACCGAGAAAGTACGAGGTGTTAAAGAGTGCGCATGTTTTTTTCTAAATAAAACAATAGGTTTACAATATCGATAAATACTATGTGTGTGTCTTTTTCCGGGATTTTATCGAGTATTTGCATCTTGGAAATTTTCATTCGAGCCCCTCAAGCTAACGCTTTCGAGTCTCGAGATGAATTTCCAAGATGCAAATACTCGATAAAATCCCGGAAATAGACACACACATAGTATTTATCTTCTAAATACATGTACTCAACAGTATACAGTTACAGTGTATGTTTTAAGGTTTTAAAAAAGAAAGAGTACATATCAAACCAAAGTGACTAAACTTGTTACAGAGAAAGTAGCTATTTAATCAGATGACTCACCAGAGTGCACGTCTAAATGCCAAATCGTAATGAAGTCAACTCTGAGTGTGATGTATTTCAATGTTTACATTGTATAGATCTATTTTTGTATTTTCAAAATGAGACAAATCTGAGTATGAACTCAGCCCTTCCAAAGCAGACCATATCATTTGATCCCAGAGCATACCATGCCAGAAGTATCGTCAATGTCCGTGTTCAGGGTACATACAAACCATTCAATAAATTCTTTTCCCAAACTGTGGACCATATCCGTATCCACCTGAAGATGATTTATAGCCTCCGAAAGGGTGTGAGGAAGAGCTTTAGAAGAAGAGAACTGATCCACAGGCGGACATTCCAGCTTCTTCTCAATCCCATCAAGACCAGCAGCTATGGTTGCCGCCAGAGTGATGTAGGGGTTGCTCATCCCACTGGGAATGCGATTTTCCAGATAAGTGCCAGCTTCTAAAGACTTGACTTTCACACACGCAGAACGTTTATTGGTGCTCCAATAGATCAGTCCAGGAAGATTGGGTTTGTGCAAGCGATTGTAACAGTTGATGGTCGGGCAGAAAAATGCACTCAGAGCCTTCGCATGTTTCATGAGACCAGCCAGCCAGTGTCTTCCCAAAGTGCTGAGACCATGGTCACTGTCAGGATCGTAGAAAACATTGACGCCACTTGATGAAGACCATAGCGAATGGTTAAAATGCATTCCTACTCCGCCACATCCTTGCATGGGGTTGAAACAAACTGAATAATCTTTCTTATCCCCTATTTCTAGAATTCCGTTCTTAAAGGTAATACATGAATCAGCACTTTTGATGCCATACGATGGTTGGAGTACCATCTCAAACAACCCTGCACCCCACTCAGAATGGAAAGAGCCTATGTCGACACCTGCTTGGTGCATGTGTTTTTCAAGGTAAAATAGAAAACCGTCATGTTTGCTGACTAATCTGTGACGCATGTAATCTGGTTCAAGAAGATACGGTCTGCCAGCTTGTGTCAGTGTAAATTCAACTTCGTATCCAGAAAAGAGGCTAAAGCCATGATTAGTCAATTTCTCCAATTGTTGTCGAGCAACATATCGGGGACATGCAAGCTGTGCCGATCCATCCTTTAGCCAGTAGCTCTCACAGATAATTTCGGCCACCAAGATGTCATCCTGCCCCGACCAAGACACATTATACAATGTATCGATATCAGGGCGTAGGTAGGCCTTGGGTGCTCTAAAATCTGCCATGTTCTCTGATGGGCAGGTGACTTCTTTGTGGAGGCCAAATGATAGAAAACCTGAAATACATATTTTAAGAAGAACGATCATTTACACAACATATTTATATAAGATAAGCATCATGTTTTTTCTTATTTGCGGGTTTTCACAGCGTTTGATGCCCGGACATCTTATTTTGGATCAAGAAAAGTATTCGCACGCGTACGCAGCGTAAAAGTCAGAAAATATTCCCAGGAGCCAATCGCATTTAACAACGTTTTTTTCAACCAATCGGATTGCATCACAGACTCGCATTCATTTCGCAACAATATTTGAAATATACTCTCCAAACATAGCAGGGGATACACGGAAATAACATAAAATTTCCAAAATTGTAAGAGAGTTTCTACTATTAGTTTAGGATAACATTGAACAAATTAGAAACACGATTACAACCGATAGTGAAGAAAGACAGATGGTATGACCGCCAGGACGATAGGGATAAGATGGAAAAGTTCTAAGTTGAAATGAGTAATACCGCCGAGATTTGTCAAACATCAGTTCACTCGATGAGGCATACTGCGTATGAGTCTCCCAATGGCTTTTTGAGGGAGCCAATCCCACCCCTGCTGCTGGAGTTAAGCATTGACGATTCATACACGGTGAGCACGGACGTTGCCGAACTGAAAGACAAAACGTTGACCCACACGCCTTGCAACCTGGACAACAAAAGGTTTTAGTATAATGTCCGATAACTTACTGTCAAGTGACTTTTCCATGGTCCAATATGGAGTGGGGTTCGGTCAGTCATTGTGATGCCAACCCACACCATAACCGATCTACCGCCAAATCTGTCATGAGGTCTCAGGTTGACATTGGCATGACGTACATTTCGACGTCGCAAAACACGACCACGCTTATCAAGGAAGTAATATATAAAGTGGATCGGGACTCATCGGTGTACACCATTGACGTCTATAGGCAATGTGGCGATTTGTAAGGGACGGCACTACACGTGGACGTCGAGATGATCTGTATGTAGACGGTTTCTAATCGTCTAACCCTTAACTCGTACTTTAGTAGCCTAATGGAAGTTTGCAGCTATTTGATTTGCCGTTTGAGCTCTATTTCGTAGAGCTTGGCTTCGGATCAATCGACTCTGTACTCTTGTCGTTCACCTGGGACGCCCTGAACGGGGTCGACCGTCAACATTTTAGGTTTGCTGGTGCCTATTCCACTGTCCGCTAATCACACTGTGAAACACTGAACGTTTTGGCCACTGCACGTTGACTGCACGCTCAACAAGTATTTACCTTAAGATAAAGAAGTTTTTAAACTAAACAAACTCTTAAACTCAAATTAGCTTCGTATATACATTAGCATTATTCTTATGTAAACCGCGCCAGCTTCGCCGACCCCTATCTATTTGTATTTTTTCTATTGAAAGTCTGAGGGGACATGGGGGTGATGGGTAATTGTATACCCGTGACGATCCGGGTTAGAATATATAGGTCTTCAGCAACCAATGCTTGCCGTAAAAGGCGACTATGCTTGTCGTAAGAGGCGACTAACGGGATCGGGTGGTCAGTCAAACTCGCTGACTTGGTTGATGCATGTGATCATATTTCAATTGCGTGGGTCGAGGGTCGATGCTTATGATATCACTCACTGGATTATCTGGTCATATAGCTAGAATATTGTTGTTTGTTTGTTGTCAAACGCCGCACTCAGTAATATTCCAGCTATATGACGGCGGTCTGTGTAAATAATCGAATCTGGACCAGACAATCCAGTGATTTTACAGCAAGCATGGGTTGCTGAATACCTATTCTACCCCGGATCTTCACGGGTTGAAATTTTGTTGAGTGCGGCGTTAAACAACAAACAAATCAAATATAGGAAATTCATGCCTTTCTAATTTCGATGCATTTCTAACAGTTATTGTTGGTGACAATTTCATTTTGGTAATTGTGTTTAACACTATTCCGTCATGTTGTCAGTAAAGTAAGGATAAGATATATGGATGAACATCTTCTATTTTGCAATTAGGTGCAGCATTTCGGTGTAGGTTCTAACAGCGTTATCAAGCAAGTGATGTGCAGAGTATGGTTGACAAGCATATATAAGGTATGAGGCAGTGTTTATACAGTTGCGTAGATTGGGATGTAGGTACACTTTAGTGTAAAAGCCGGTTATGTCCACAAAATGGGTGAGATGAGGTAAATATCTTTATAGGCGAAGCCAATAGTATAAACAAGAGAATTGTGACTGATTGGGGTATTGATGACTTGACGGTACGCAGGGAGGATGTAACATCCTTGATCACGGTTGATTGGTGGTTGGAGTCTTTTTTTTATGTTGATGAGGTCTTGGACTTTTCTGATTTTGAAGTTTTTGAGGCTGGTTGTGAGGGCTTTGATTTTGTCCCACTGGATGCTGTTGTTGGGGTCGTTACAGATATGGTCTGATGGAGCTGACTCGAAGTCAGCTCTGTCTACTGAGCTTTGATGTTCTTTAATTCGGGTTTTGAGGGCATCAGTGTCGGCGAGGTAGGTAATGGCATGGTTGTTAAAAACAACTACAAATTGTTTTAAACACTGATGAACTATTTTAGGGAAATTATTTTATGGTAAATATGATTTGACAAACAAAGAGTTTGCGCCAGTGTTGATTCATTGCATCAAAGTTTTCCTGTATAAAGGTTTTGTATAAACGACCAAATGAATAATATTAACACATGTGATTTGACTTTTACAAAGGACACGTGAAGATCCGGGATAGAATCGGTCTTCATGATTGTCGTAAAAGGCCACTACTCTTGTCGTTAGAGGCGACTAACGGTGGTCAGGCTAGCTGACTTGGTCGATGCATGTCATCGTATCCGAATTGCGTCGATCAGTGCTCATGCTATCAATCTCTGGATTGTCTTGTCCAGACTAGATTATTACAGACCGCCGTCATATGGCTGGAATATTGCTGAGTGCGGCGTTAAACAACAAACAAACAAACTTTATCAAAGTGTTCTTCGTACAAGTTGTAAAATTACCTGCAAAGAGGTTGCAACCGATGCCGGTCTCAAAGGTTTTTTTTACATGTCTTGCGGGAACAATTCTTCCTCTTGATCTTCCGTGTATATCAGCAACAGAGAAGCGGACATAGTCGTACTTGTTGATGTGAGACATCTTTTAGTTCTGGACGTTCCTGTTATATTCCCCAGTCGGCGGCACTGATATACATAGGTGTTCAAGAGCTCGCCCTGTAAATTTGAAACGATGTTGTAAATAAAAGCGACAAGACCCTTTTCATAAACTCAAGACATCGCTGCTGAAAGCAAAGTACAATTCCGACTGTATCATTAGCGTACGTTTTAGAACCACTATCACATAATGACGATACCGGGTCTAATCCAAAGACGACAATGTTCACAAAGATTGGACCCCCTGGAGTTCCCGGGTTGGAATTGGTCTCAAGTGCTTTTGGGAGAGTCGACTAAATGGATCGGGTGGTCCGCGATCTTATTGATTGCGTGTTTGCGTACCCCAATAGTGAAGGACGTTGCACATAATATCAATCAAATGTTTGTCTTTCCCAAACTCGAATGTTTCGAAGCCGCCGTCACGATTATAGCTGAGTGCGACGTTAATCAATAAACGAACAATCCATAAAAGCAGGACAAAAAAACATACATACATCTGGGTTTTTCGCGTAATGTCTGATAAGTAACAATTAACACAACTGATAACAAACGCAATCGCTCTGCTCCGCACAGAGATCAGTATACGTGTCTTATTCTTCTTAGTCTTTGTTTAGCGACATCCTATGTGCTGTTTCAAACTCTCGATGATATTAAGCATGCACTGGTAACATATATCCCGTCTACACACGAGATGGTTGAGTAATGTGTTTAGCAAAATGACCTCTAACAATACATACCGGCAGGAGAAAATCCTGAGCGTTTCACAGACACCTGTAAGTCAAGTAGATAAGCCACGAATTTGTCTCTTCTACAGACATTTTGTGAATACCATTGTATGTACACCGATATGCGACAAGTATTTGCGCTTCAACCACTTGGAAGCATTTATAATTAGCCAATGGTTACTCAAGTGAACAATTTTCCAACCAATGGGCACTTGTGAGCGTTACTGTTACCGTAGAGCGGCATGGAAACGGTGTGAGAAATGTTATATGACAGGACTTATTGAGTCAGGCATCAAACACTTGTTTATGCAAACCGTGTGAGTGGCTGTCCTACTGGGAAGGAAGGACGTGCTTACCCTTACACTTTGTGGCCCTTCCATGTAACTTTCCCCGCAGTGTTGCCTTTACGAACAATGGAATCTGTTCTGTGGATACTCGAGTGGTTATTCTCATAAATAGTTAGTATGTAGCTTGTAATGAGTGGGTATGGTTTTACGCCGCTTTTAGCAATATTTCGGCAATATCACGGCGGTGTACACCACAAATGGGCTTCACACATTGTACCCATGTGGGGAATCGAACCCGGGTTTTCTGCATGAGCGAAGGCTTTAACCACTAGACTTCCCAACCGCCCATGTAGCTTGTAATGTTTGGTTGGTAGGACTTTTATGGGACTTAATACATAGCTGAGAGGGGTGAGTGAAAAATGTACTTGCGACTGTGAAAGAAACAGTTCCGGAGACAATATGTTAATTGAATGTGTACCAGAGCGTTGAGTCATCCATGATTACTTCTTAATTATAAGAGAAATATGATGATTAATATTGCACTGGCTACACACAATGAACAGATGGTTAAACTTCCCACATATACATTAATCAACATTAATGTTACTAATTTATTTTGTTCAACTTTAATGGCCATCTGCATTGCACAACCTTGTTATATTTTCCTGGATGTGTATTAGTATGATATAATGAGTAGGTTTGTCTGCAGGATAAAGCGAACGGATATAAACGGTATACGCTTCGGTATATACGGATAGAAGATGCAAATTTGAAAGGTCAGGACGGTACTGCTTTCAGTCTTAAGAACAATCATGGCGTCGCCATTGTCAATCCCCGATCGAGAAACTATTGTGATAATTGTTAACATGATCAAAATTATAATTTTAAAATTCCAAAGCTCCCTAAAAATCCATCCCGCAAATGTACCACCAATTGCAAATCCCTAAGATTAACCATAATCAAGGAAGGACTTTCTTCATTGAAAGTATTTGAGACAAGTGGAATTAATACCATGATGATTCTCAAAACTCAAAGGATTTGATTGGAACATATTTTATTGCGGAAAATCAAATGGATTAGGCACAAGTGCACACTTACGAGGGCTTCTCCTGAAATAGATGCGCAAGAACTGAAAAGATTTGATTGACGTTTGACAATCTCAGAAAAGAATACCCCTCTCTCTATTATTTATAGTTATTGAGTTATAGCATGGGTAAATCTTCTATTTAACATCATGCATGTTGATTAATATAAATAAAAGCGATAAAAACCCTTCCATAACCTGTATAGAAAGAACTTTTCACTATTCCGTCTATATTATTAGTATGTGTTAATGAATCACTAACAAAAAGTGGTGACACGAGGTACCCTGGCCCGAACTGTCTGGTGGATATTGGATGTTTTTGATCAATCTTAACCTTTATGCATAGATGTTAATATGAAGCAGGTGAGGCGGTTTCACTGGTCCCTTTTATTTCTGTCAAGTGGGTAAATCAGTGGAAGGAAATTGGTATTTGATGGGGTTTTTAACGATATCAGAGCAAAGATACACCTGAAACTTAAGTTAAACTTCTTGGACAAATAGACCCGTGAAGATTCCGGGTTAGAATAGTTCTTCAGCAACCCATGCTTGCCGTAAAAGGTGACTATGCTTGTCGTAAGAGGCGACTAACGGGATCGGGTGGTCAGGCTCGATGACTTGGTTGATGTCATCGGATCCCAATTGCGTGGATCGATGCTCATGATGTCAATCACTGGATTGTCTGGTCCATACTCGATTAGTTACAGACCGACGTCGTATTGCTGGAATGTGCTGAGTGCGGCGTTAAACAAACAAACAAAACCCTTGTGTTCGTCAATAGGGCGGTGGGGGTAGCCTAGTGGTAAAAGCGTTCGCTCGTCACGCCGAATCACCGGGTTCGATTCCCCTCATGGGTACAATGTTTGAAGCCCATTTCTGGTGTCCCCCGCTGTGATATTGCTGGGATATTGCTGAAAGCAGCGTTATACCATACTCACTCACTCATAAAGCACGTATTCATGAGAAACAGGTAAGATAAATGTTAAAGAAGATGATGCATACGGTGCAGACAGTGAGCAATGTATAGATTTGCAGTTGAGCACACGTAACAGCGCTTATCCGATTGTAAGGTAAAGGCGCTAACTATCTTTATGTGTACGTCATGTGCTAACTGTCAAGTCAAAGATATTTATTGCATGTAAGACCTCCGGAGTTACAAATAAGTAGTTTTACATATTTGGATATATACACATGTTTAACAATTTGTTTCTGAGGGAAATTGCATTTTTAACATATATAGCCAGTTTTAATATGACATCATCATCTCTTGAAGAAAGGGGAGAAATAAAAGCAGGTACAGGATAATTTGACAGATAGCGTTCTGGTATAAACTTTCTTCTTAGATCACAATAATAAGGACATACAAAAGTCAAATGAATTTAATTTTCCATAGCTTAATGACATAATTGGCACAGCCTCTTCGACTTTTCAGTGGACATTTTTCTTCCCTCATTTATCATGAGATCTAAATATCCAAGCCTAAATTGAATAAATGGACGTCGAAGGGTTTTTGATGTTAATGTAGATAAGTATTTTTTCTGGTTGAATAAGACTCTTAAAGGTGCTGTACAAGTCATACCTTGAACTGTTTTCTAGAGTAGAATGCCATTCCTGATAAAACATATTAAATATTGTTCACGAAATTGTTTCAAAAAGAGTTTAACCATACAAAACCGTAGCTATGAAAGAACAAAAGGTTTCTAATAGGTGATGCCCATTTTACTTTGCCCATGTCGTCTAAATATTATAAGCAAGTTTGGGGATTCGGCGTTCATGCATTCCAAGAATATTAAACCAGTATTTCAAGCATCTAATTTGGGGGTTGATGTATAACGGGTATCTGCCGCACTCGTCATATACCATACAATTAGGTGTTGATGGACCAACGGATAAGTATTAGGCTAAAAGATATAGCTTTTCAAGACAATCGTATCGCTGGAATCGCCATACTTCTGATCCATATAACAGGATTGGTTGGATTTCAAATTCAAAAAAAATATTCGGTGTAAAACTTTCTGCGAGACAGACATGACATTGATTAAGGCCTTCTTTGCACGTGATGTCATGTCCGAGACACTTTTCTTGAAGTTCATTGTGTGGGTAAACAATTCAACAAGATTTGTATAATGGCTCAGAACATTAAAACAATTAACCCCCGAAAAAACATCTTTCATTCAGTGCCATTTTTATACCCTTGACTCTGTTGACGCTTCAAGGCAGCAAATGCCCGTTCCACCACACCCTTCACCTCCGACACATGTTGTATTTTCACGGGTTGGGGTGTTGTCTTCGATCCCTGTTTGGTTGTCATCGTTTTCATTTTAGGTGTTACCTGTCTCTTCTTTGTCTTCAGCGTCGACTTCTTGGCTGCTTGTGGTTTCTTTCTCTGTTGTGATTTTCTCAACGTAGTCTTCCTAAATATATCTCTAGGGTCAAGTCTAATCTCTGATGCTTTCTTCATGTTGTTCACGTCCAATCCGTTTGCTGGCGAGAGTAAAACTGTTTGTCGGGCTACACTACTGTAGAGTTTATACTGTCTTACACGTGCAGGGAATCTTGGAAGACACTCTTTTCTTCACAGCACACTTGTGAGTATGTTAAAAGCGATCATATGAGTATATTGTCTTCGTCATACTACACCCGTGAAGGTCCGGGTTATAGAATCGACCTTCTGTAACCCATGCTTATCGGCGACTGACGGGGATCGGTTGGTAAGTCTCGCCGACTCGGATGACACGTGCCATCGGTTCCTAGTTGCACAGATCGCTGCTCATGCTGTTGATCACTGGATTGTCTGGTCCAAGCTCGTTTATTGACAGACCACCGTCCTAGAGCTGGAATAATGCCGAGTGTGGCGTAAAACTAAATTCACTCACTCACTGATACCAATACATCTAAAAAGTAATGTCATCATTTAAATGGTGAGTTTAAACGCGTATTTTACCCTTACAAGGACGAGTGCATACCACACCCCCTTCCTGTTATCAATGTGTCACTGTTTACAGTTCGGGCGAACATAACCCTATAGACATGTGTGCGGGCGAGTTCATTCATCAGAAATTTGTCATTTACGATGTGTTTATAAATATGAACTGCTAACCACGCTCATAGTCATGTTGCGTGTCGTGGTTAGAACCGTAATTGATCTAATTGAAAGGTGTCATACATTCGTGTTCGGATATAGGTACAACATCGATATCTACACGCACATACTTTCCTACATCACTTAAATGTATTAAATACCGGATACGTTTAATAGACACCAACAAAAGAAAAGTTTAATGAAGGGAATGCCCATATATATCCTCTCTGAAATAACTCCCTTTTAAAATAACAAATGTACAACACATCTTCCCTGACATATCATAAATACGGGACACTGGTCACACAATTTATGAATGGGAAGCTCAGGCGAGGCTGGTATGTTGACATTAATTGTAAGGCCGGGGTATGTTGACATTGTTATGGGCGGTTGGTGGCTCTCTCTGCTATACATTAGCTATGAATAAACCTGCTTCGACATATATTTCCAATAAAACATTTTCCTCGTGAAACATTTTTCGATGATAAACTCTGTTCTCTCTTCGAATTAAGGGTGAGTATTGTAAACATGAAAATGTCCTATAGATTGCTTCCATCACTTTCCCAACAAACCTAGCTTCGTGCCGTCACACTGCTACATGTACTTATCAGTTTCTTATTGAACATAGACATGGTTCTAACTATCTATTTTCAAAATAGCACGTTCTGAAGTAAAACTGTGCACATCGTGTTACACGGTTAAAACTCAATCCGCACGGTTTATTTATCATCGCGTTATGGTAACACAATGGCTGATGCTGCAGCCAAAGCAGCACTCAACAAATCTGTGACACCACTTCTGATCCCATACAGGGATTATAAACCCGTGATAAGATCTTACATCCATGATCTAATGCAAAAGAAGTGGGACACACAAGTAGGTATAAATAAATTACATGAACTTAAACCAACTATTGGCTACACCTACTTGGGTTGTCAGTCCAGATTTGAAGAGGTCATAATACGACGATGTCGTATTGGTCATAGCAGGTATTCCCATGAATATATTTTAAAAGGTGAGGATCCTCCATTCTGTATCCCTTGTGATGAAAGAATCACCGTCAAGCATGTCCTGCTTGACTGTGTTGATTTTTCCATCACAAGGGAGAAATATTTCAAATCATCATCAATGAGGGACCTTTTTAATAGAATAAATTCTCATTTAATTATTGGCTATTTAAAAGAAATTGAACTTATTGATAAATTTTGAATTGTGTAAATAGCTATATTTTATATTGATTATGTATTATATGTAACTTAGATTGTTAGTGGCTATATCCTCAAAGGGGGTTGAAGTAGCGTAAACTTATTGTCCCCTGGAGAGGATATGTAAGACCACATCATTCAAAGTACATTTATTCTTCCATCGGTTTTAAACGTAGTATATTTGTTTATTTTAAGTGTTGGCTTAATTGCATCCCATCACCAGCAGCTGAAGGGTTGTTATAAATCCTGCTGGGGAGCCGTGCAGGTAGCAAAAGTAATGTAAGTCCCCACGGTCCCTAGTGAGGTGGCCTAACTTTGGTTACTGGTGATCTATAGCCCCTTTTTATATTGTCTTGTTGAATGAAAATGTATTCTTTTAAATGTTCCAAACTAGTTTTAACATCGAAACTGTGATGCTCTAGTGATCTTACTGTCCTTCGTTGACAGGTTTTTAATTCAATCAAAATATAATTATTATAACTGTTTCGTCACGATATGGCTGAAATACTGGCGATGTGACGATAAATTTCACTCACTCACTATCATCGCGTTAAAAGGAAAAGCTAGCATTGAAACATCAACTATGCAAGTCGGGACAGACCTGAATAAGTCAACGCCTTCTGTACAAATGGTTCACAATAGTACGCAGCGCGGGTGATTGAAAATCCGGCTGCCTTCAGCGTTATAGTCAATTGAGGGTGACGTGACTACCTCGTTCTTGCGCGCTAAATGTAATTACACGACACTGCTAGCTATAGCTTACTGATTGTATAGTCTTATCTATTTGTTCTATGTTTTTTTCCATACAGGTTGTCTAACGTTCATTGTGTACAACGTGTAGACCGTACAAGATGAATTTGATACGGCTAGACGTACATTTTTTTGCCTACATTATCCGGCGTATATCATGTTGACACAATCCGTCTCTATTGTGGTATGATGTACTTTCAACACACACCCTGTATTCATCAAACCAGGTCGCACGCTCTAGCGAGCGCGGGTTATTTGGAACGACGAGGCCACGTGAGTTGTCAAGCGCGCTCAATTCAAACTGGGCTGACGGGTACGGTCTGTCTATTTAGGGCAGCACGCTATACACATAACTCTATTCATAACCATTAATTTTTGTTTTCTTATGAATTCTTTTCTGCCTTATAAACACACACCTTTCATCCATACCATACAGTTGAATGCATTTAGATAAACGGGCGAAATTGATAAATGGCAAGATAAATTCTTTGTCGCCAGTCCTCAGTTGTATAGGGAGTGATGTACCCTGTGTGGGAATCGACCGGCTCGGGTTACAGAGGTCGCACCATCGCCTACATCACAGCATGTACCCATCGCGACCGTTTGAGAACTAGTTGGATGTCAGGTCAACGACCTTATTTTCAACATGCGCTTTTACTACGCCAGCTGGATGGTTATAATTATATTCTTCGGGGTGTAGTTGTATTCATTTAGTGCGGGTTTTTTTAAACAAAATAATATGGTTCAACAACGTTTTATGAGTTATGAATAAAGGTATTTGATCATGTTGAAAGATTTCAATATAAACTAGAGAACTGAATATGAAATCATCAGGTCCAACGAATAATAATGACAAACACGTTTGACGGCTTTGTTGAGCAGAAAGGGGAAGACGCTACACTTAACTGAATATTTTGGCGCTTGGTTTGAGCATTGTAGAAATTGTATTATGGAAAGAAACGCTTTTTACGCTTTCATAAACAGGTAGGTCCCTTTCATTATCAATATGTCAGGTGTTGTAGAAACTGTATATAGTCGTCTGTATGGTTTTGATATGATATGAGTTTGAAATTTAGTTGTCTGTACATATTCGCAAAGATCTTCATAAATGTTTCCACATAGCTAGAGCAGTTCTATTTTTGTAATGTGGCGCATGCATCTCACACCGGGTCACTTACTGGAACATGTTAGTTAGATGCAAATATCATTTATTTACACTGGCAACAAGTCAGTTGTCTGGTCCATTATTTACAGACCGTCGTAATATAGCTGGACTATTTACCGTGTGCAGCGTTCAACAACAAAGAAGTAATGATTATTTATTGTTAATCAGCAATAGGCTTCCTGTATTCTAATTTAGTAATCCCTTGACTACAAGAAAGGCACTTATGGTACCTTATCATGTTCTAATGATCATTTTTGATATTTTGATCATATTAGAAGAATGATGAAGCAGTTTTAAAACGCCACTATGAACAGTATATAAGTAACTGACCAAAATCAGATGAAATCTGGAATTCAGCACACAGTTACAGGATTCAGTCACGATTAAGGGATGCAACTCTGCAAGTAGCGTCACTGTCCGTCTTCATGGTGCATACAAACCAATGAATGAAGTCTTCTCCCAAACTGTGGATCATATCCGTGTCTGCTTGAAGTTCACTTAAAGCCTCTGAAAGAGTGCGAGGAAGAGCATTGGGTGGGACACTTTCATCCGGAGGAGGGCACTCCAACTTCTTCACAATCCCATCAAGACCTGCAGCTATTGTGGCCGCCAGAGTGATGTAAGGGTTGCTCATCCCACTGGGAATGCGATTTTCAATATAGGTCCCAGCATCCACAGACTTGACTTTAACGCAAGCAGAACGTTTATCAGTACTCCAGTAGATGAGTCCAGGAAGATTGGGCTTGTGCAAACGATCGTAACAGTTGCTGGTCGGGCAGAAGAAAGCACTCAGAGCCTTCGCATGTTTCATGAGACCGGCCAGCCAGTATTTTCCTAAAGTGCTGAGACCATGGTCACTGTAAGGATCGTGGAACACATTGACGCCCCCGGATAAGGACCAAAGAGAATGGTTAAAATGCATTCCTACTCCGCCAGATTCTTGCATGGAGTTGAAACTAACCGAATAATCTTTCGTATCCCCTATTTCTAGAATTCCGTTCTTAAAGGTAATGCACGAATCAGCACTTTTGATGCCATACGATGGTTGGAGTACCATCTCAAACAACCCTGCATCCCACTCAGAATGGAAAGAGCCTATGTCGACACCTGCTTGGTGCATGTGTTTTTCAAGGTAAAATAGAAAACCGTCATGTTTGCTGACTAATCTGTGACGCATGTAATCTGGTTCAAGAGGATACGGTATGGCAGATTGTGCCAGTGTAAATTCAACCTCGTATCCAGAAAAGAGGCTAAATCCATGATTGGTCAATTTTTCTAATTGTTGTCGTGCAACATATCGAGGACATGCAAGTTGCACCGATCTGCTCTTTAACCAGTAGCTCTCACAAATAACCTCAGCCACCTTGATGTCGTCATTACCACACCAAGAGACATTATACAAGGTACTGAGGTCAGGTCGTGCATACACTTTAGGCATCCTGTCATCTTTGAACTTCTCTGATGGACCGATTACTTCACCGTGGAGTCCAAACGACAATGAACCTGCAACATGCAATGAATTAGTTGCAACCAGAATTTAGTCAATACTGATTTTCTGTCTCCTATGTCTTTAATTATGTAAACGATAAACATTTCTGAACATCCAGAAAACTAAGTGACATTTCTCTGTGCCATTACACGATTCTGAAGTGGTAAGGTATTATATTCTACATACATGTATAATATATTCTACATATCTTCAAGTTGTACATTTTAATGCTACTGTTTTTAATAAATGTACATGAACCAAGCTGTTATATTCCTGTCTCACAAACAAACTATAATGTCTGCTTAATTTAGATTTGTGATTCAGCTACCAATAAGTGTCTTAAGATCCGACAGACATTGAAAATGGCTTTCTTTGAACCTTTCGCCAGTTTGCGTCAGTGACGTTTGTGAGTATGGTATTGCTTGGAAATATTGCTGTCGAGTCTTTCAGTGAATTTTGACTCTCCGGCTCCATTAATTGGCATTTGATTAATCAGATCGAACATGTCAGAAAACAATTTTGTGTTACCTGCAAACATCGTGACACCGGTCGTCATGTATCTCTCAGCATGTCGTGCAGGCACAACTCTTCCCCTAGATCTTCCGTGTAAGTCAGCCACAGTGAAACGGACGTAGTCGTACTTGTTTATAATATCAGACATATTTGGATGAAATTGATATTACCAGTAACGTGAAAGTCTCTTACCCGAGTCAACCCTCCACTTGTATGTGAATCCCGTGTATGTGGGCGGCGGCACAACAACACTACTTCAACACGCCTGTAACAGGCATACATCACTGCCCAAGCAGTAAACCGTAAACTTTGACGCTTCATATTACGAGTGTTGTGTGGCTGAGGCAAAATACATACTTCGTTGAGTTAGGAACAGTGTAAAGGGGCTTCCTACATCGTTCACACGGGGGAATGAATCTATCACTAGATCTGAGTTAACCACGCATCCACACGGCAACAGTTTTTCTTATCTATTAATCGACCGCTTATCCCACAAACGTCCCTTAAGAATGCTAATTATTTGTAAAATCGACAGATTATAACAACGTTCCCGGGTTCCCGGACTTCGAACCACAAAGCGTGCCTACGACTAACACGTTTTTCAGGGAAGCGTGTAGTCATTGGGGACACCTGGAGGTAAAAGAACTTCGTTTATCATCCAAAACTGGCTCCCACGTGAGATATCGCTTGAATGAGATCAAGCGATATCTACACTGTAGATCGCAGCAATGAAATTACATCAAAATGTTTTGCAGACCCTTGTGAAGTCACTGGTTACCACGACGTCACAATCAAATGACATCACTAATGGCTCTGCTACTTAAGCAGTACTTTTTACACTGAAGTCACTGCAAATAGCTGTCTACAAATTGAAAAAGTTTGAAGAATGATGTTGGATGATAAATAAAAGCTCACCCTCATGTCTTTTGATATCAAATATATCAACACTCGTTGATAAAAGTGGAAAAAAACCTCGGCAAGCCTCGGAGTTTTCCCACTTTATCAACTCGTGTTGATATATTTCATATCAAAAGACACGGGAGGGAGATTCTCTATGTATCACAAAACACACAATTTAAATGCCTTAAAGTACTTCATCATAGCTGGGCCGGCACTGATTTCATTCATAAATCGTCAATTCGGTCTACCTGTAGGTTCAGGGAAACGACTTGATAATATTTAACGAGAACTCCCCCAACTGCTTCAGCTCATAGCCTAAACTCAATCGGACTTCGAACCACAAAGCGTGCCTACGACTAACTCGTTTTTCAGGGAAGCGAAGTTGTCATTGTGGACACCTGGAGGTAAAAGAACTTCGTTCATCATCCGCTTCAGCTCATAGGCTAAACTCAATCTAACAGAAATGGACAATCTCTGCTCTCAATCAAGCAAGTACATCTACCTGGGATGCAGTTGATGATCCCTGGGAAAGGGACCACTTTCCTATATTAACCAAAATACGAACTGGCCTTAACTCACTTCCTGGAGAAAAAAACCCCACAAAATTAATTTCAAGAAAACTGAATGAGATAAACAAATAATGACATTGTAGGATTGTATGAAACATGGACACCTGAGACCGATTTTCTCAATATAAAAAGTCATTTTCAACAATATAAAACGTTTTGTTTACCTGCAAACAAGATAACGGAATTTAGTCGTTATCCCGGTATTTTCATTGCTAAAATATATAACTGATGGTACAACAAAAACGATAGTTCTTAGGGTGTTGATCTACCACTGCACTTCCTCCTCAGTGTATTGGATAAACACTCTGATGCCTCGTGTTCGGCGACCTGAATAGTAGAACGGGTAGCGATCGAGATTACGTCACAAGCGACATTATCTGTTACATTGAAGGAGATGAGCATTTGAGCGATATTTTATCGAAATTTGATGACCCAAGACTATCCTGTAACTTAACGTTAACTCTTCGGCAAAACACTCTTAGATATGGATAAATGGCAGGTTCGGAGGAGAGTCTGGTGGTTTCACGTTTATTGGCACTTTGGGATGTAGTGTTATTGACTATGCTTTAGCATCTTCAAACATATTCCATAATTTACCATACTCTCCCGCACCGACTGCGATCATCTACCAATACAATTGTGTTTAAACCATGAAATATCTGTTACATATGGAGTGAGAGACACAAAGAGATATTCATCACTCGCATGTCGTCACCAGATATAACTGATATGTTTGACAATGCAGGACAGATAGCTTTATTGTGTGTGTCTGAAGCAGTGAGTTTGGTCACCGACGCTATACTCTCTTCTGCCAGTGTGTTTAGACGAGAGATCAACATGGAGACAAGAAGCACTTGTTACTCTCCATGATGTGTGTCTTGTTTAAAAGACTGAACGTTGTCATGCACTCAATACTTTCCGAAATACAAAGACACCTGAACACTTAGCAATGTGTCACAGAGTTCGAAATGGATATAGATCTATCTGCAGAAAAAACGGAGCTACACCAGCAACGTACCAGAGAGGAATTGATTGAATCAACTACTAACTCGAATCGACTTTTGGACATTGTCACGCGTGTGTCGTACCCGTAGTTATAATCCTATCGCTGCAGGTGAATGGGCTGAATATTTCACTACACTGTTATCAACTGCTTCGGACTCGATCCAGTCAGATTCATGGGTTATTGGGAATGGCAATGAACACACCAAAGACGAACAACACATCTCACATGACATTCTTGATAATCCCATAACAAGACATTAAATATTGGAGAGGTTTAGCTCTCTGAAAGACAATAAATATGCTGGCATAGATAATTTTTTTAAGTGAGTTAAAGCACTTGTCAAACATTAATGTTCCATATTTTGAGATAGTGTTTAATTGCATGTATGATAGCGGTCTTTTTCTTGATTAATGGTCAGTTGGCATCATTATACCTCTGCACAAAAAGGAGATAACCATTATTGGCAACTGTAGGGCAATTCGTCTTTTGAGTATTATTAGCAAAGTATTTACCCCAATTTTGGGGAAGAGGTTGGTGTTTTGGACGGATAGCCTATCCAAAATATCTGAGTGTCAATTTGGATACAGGAAGCTACCGCAGATAATTGCTTTGTTCTAAATGCTACTGTCCAGCGTTTTCTCTCACGTAAGGGTGGCCAGTTTTATGTGGCCTTCATATGTTTCACAAAGGACTTCGACCCCGTACAACGCCATCTTCTGTGGAATTTATTTTATAAACATGGTTTGAGCGCAAAAATGGGTTCAATGTTAGAATCAATTATAGGGATGTTTAATTATGTGTTCAGTTACATAATCTCATGTCTCATTAGCTTTAATTGCCCTACTGGTGTTAAACAAGGCTGTGTTCTTAGTCCCTTTCTATTTCTGTTATTATTAAATTTGTTAGTTATTCAGATGGATGATGAATGTCTAGATGGTGTAAGTTATATCTCCTATGTTATTCATGTTCTCTTACTCTTATTTGCTGATGACTTGATGCTTTTGGGGGATAGTATTTATAATCTTCAAATAATTTCAAAGTTACATGTACTAGACAAATTTGGTTACACGTGGAGAATGTCAATTAGTATGTCTAAACCAAAGGTTGTTGTGTTCAAAAATGGGGGTGGACTTTCCCGTTTCGAAAAATGGTTCATAAAAGATGACAGTGTTGAAGTTGTTTCTGGATATATCTATCTAGGATTGTACTTTAACAATCGGCTCAACTGGTTTACAGGCTAAACCGGTTTGGATAGCTATTTTGAGAAATGTAAATTCCCCACGTCCTTTAATATGATTTCTATTTTAAAATATTCGATTGATTAGATATTATCACAATGTCTGAATGTCGCATAGCAAGAAAATGCTATAATATGATGTGCATCTATGATGAACAGGGTAAGATAAATTGGGTTACAAAGCTAGTGTAAACTAGGATTTGGCAATTTGTGGTTTTTCCACACGTATAGAAACTAAAAAATATGTTTAAAAATGTTTCAACAACGTTTGAGAGACAACTTTCAGCAATCATGGCATAGTGAAATACTTTCCTCCTACAAAATGCATTATTATGCACAATTCAAAACGTTTTGTTATAAATTGTGAACCTGAAACTCATGCCGTCAGACTAAAATCTGTTCTTTCCAGATTTCGATTAAGCTGTCATGATCTGGAAATCGAACGTGGGCGGCATGCAAATATTCCTCGAAATCTACTTAAATGTAAGTTATTCAGCTTAAACTGTGTTGAAACGAATACCACTTTATATTTATCTGCCCCGTGTTTGATAGTTTAAGACAAACGTATATTAAAACCAAGTTCTATCTCCATCCAAATTATCACAAATTCAACCCAACACTGCAGTTAAATTAGCTAAATGCATTCATTGTGTTCATATTGAAAGAAAGGTATTATCCAATGTTTAACAGCCTGTCTGTATTATTATATTCTGTACACAAAGTCCTGTGACCTATACGTATTGACCTTAATAATGACCTTAATGGTCACGAGTTTGATCGCTTTATTCATGATGCTTATATTGTGGATATAATTATGAAGGCGGTCTTCACGCACTTCTTCGGTGTCCTAATTATACGTATTTAAGATCAAATAGGTACTTTTACACTGAAAGGTTTGATAAGAATACTCTCCTGAGTGGCAATCCTAATCTGTGAATAGATATTAAAACGTTAAGTAGTATGTACTTTTATTATATATATATATCTGTATAGCGTGTTGACATCAAATATTTATTTTTTATTAAGTGTGTTTAAATGTATGTACATATTTATGAATAATCAACTGCTGTACATGCAAATAATGTTGTACTTGAGAGGACTTAAATTACATTGACATGACATGAGATGACGGTTAACCACCTGACATGACTTTCTCCCACAATGCCTACCATGCAACGCACGAACTTAATCACGCACGACATTAAATACACACTTCGTATTCGTAAACAAATCACAGAGCATGGCTAAACGGGGCGACCGCCTGAACAATGAGGTTAAACAGTAAAACATTACTTCTCACATTACTAAATCAAACATGTGTTAACGGACATATACCAACACACAGGAACAAGAACTAGTCATCCCAGACAAACCCCCACAACAACCCAGAATCATACAATCTCTGTCACATCCAACATATGCAATATCTTATTCACCATAAACCAAAATAGACTACAACTCCATAGAGATAGTAATAACTCCATAGAGATCGTTATAACCCCATGGAGATAGTAATAACTCCATAGAGATAGTAATAACTCCATGGAGATAGTAATGACTCCATAGAGATAGTAATAACTCCATAGAGATAGTAATAACCCCATGGAGATAGTAATGACTCCATAGAGATAGTAATAACTCCATATAGATAGTAATAACTCCATGGAGATAGTAATAACTCCATAGAGATAGTAATAACTCCATAGAGATAGTAATAACCCCATGGAGATGGTAATAACTCCATAGAGATAATAATAACTCCATGGAGATAGTAATAACTCCATAGAGATAGTAATAACTCCATGGAGATAGTAATAACCCCATGCAGATAGTAATAACTCCTAAGAGATAGTAATAACTCCATAGAGATAGTAATAA